CCCCAAGTGAATTCAGCCAGTTTCCCCTTGCGTGGAGGCTGGAACTCGCCTGGGATTGGGGCAGGCCGGCTGGCAGATGGATCCGGAAGATATGCGGGCAGGATTGCAGCACAGTTTGTGTATAAGATTCTGTAACCCACTGCAAAGGGCATGTGTCACAAAACTCTATGAAGGCACTGAGGTGGAAGAGAAATAATTGTGGCCTTTTTGGTCCTGTGCTGCCAGCCACTAAGTAGCTCTGGGTCCCGTCCCCTCCCCTCAGCACGCCCATCTTTAACTCTGTTGAGTCTCAGTTTCCCTTTCCACTTGTAAATGCAGGTCTGTGGACAAAGCAATCTGTCCCTTTCTGTGGCTCTGATTTAAACCCTGCTTCCCACATAGAAGCAATGAGATCCCAGCTGCTCTGAACATTTGCTTTTAAGGCAGGTGGAGCAGAGAAAGGGAGAATTGCTAACAGCCTGGGGGAGAACAGCTATCTCCTGAAAGCTCCCCTCCCTGGCCCTCACCCTGTTGATTGTGACAGGTTGTATATCTGATTACGAAAAGTAAATTGGGAAATCATATTTTCGAAGTCCCATCTGGGATTATTTATTTTGCTGTGTCCACAGCAGGTCAAAGTCATGAGGGTATGAGACCCTATAATGCTGAGTGGTTTTCTTCTAAGAGGGTCATTCAAAGTGATTTCTAGAGAAATCAGACCCACAGTAAGACACTGCAAAGCCCTCAAGCCAAGGTGCCGCAAAGTGTTGAGCACTGTCAGTCAAAACCTTGCCAGCAGAGGTTGATTAAGCCAGTGGTGGAGGGAAAGGTTCCCATGGCTCTCTCTTCACTTCAAGGCCAAAGAGGCTGAAAAGTTGGCCAGAGCACCTCAAAATTTTCTCTACTGCCCAGTTCATTGAAATAAAAAGATGACAAAAATAATCCTCAAGTACCCAATGCTCAGCATGGGTGGGTCACCAGCTGCAGAGTTTCCTCCTTTGACGTTAACTCCACTTTGCAGTTGAGGAAAGTGGGGTTCAGAGGAAGGCTGAGTCCTCTTCCTATCTCAAGGGAGTGCTGGATCCCTCACTCCAATCACCTTATTTGACTCCAAGGTCCCCAAGATCCCTTCCTTCATCTTGGCTTGCTCCTTAGAGCCAGGGCCCCAGGAGGGCCCTGAGGCAGCACGGCAGGGGCAGAGAAGCTAAAGCCCCTTAGTCGTGAAGCCTGGAACCCAAGTCCCCGTGTGGGTTAAGGATAGAAGCTCAGGAGCAGAATATGTACAGGATATCGGACAAATGAAAGGGAAGTAACTTGAAACAAACTTACCTTATTTTAAATTTAAATTTATTTCATTTGTGGACAAGAGTTTGGAGAGAGAAAGCAAGCCCACGGACAGAAACATCACACTACACACTTTCCTCCCCACCCCCTTTTTGTTCTAGTTTTCCTAGCTAGACTCAGCTGGTGGCAGCGAGCAGGCCAGGGGCCGGAAGGGTAGGTGAGAGGAGATTTGGGGTGAAGGGAGGGAGAAGCAAGAGAGGATTTTTCACTTTTGCCAGACGGTCAACAGGGAGAGAAACTAGCTCCATTCGCCAAGTAGCTCCGCTGACTCAACAGAGGCCGGCTGCTGCTGGGTAAGAGAGGCTCCGAATTTTGGTGTCGGTTTACGAGCCAAAAGAACTTGTTTCCTTACCTAACAGACCCCAGTCAAGGAGGCTTTCTAAAGAGAGGGGCGCTAGCAGAAGTGCGAAGAGGTCTGACAAGTGCTGCCTGAGCCCCGCCTCTCCAGCCCCTAGGAGCTCCTGCAGGGTGAGGGCTTCAAAGGTTACTCTTCCCATTCCGAAGATGAGGCACGCGAGGTGCAGAAAAATAATTGATTAAAGTCAAATAGTCTTAGTGGAAGGTGGAAGAACCAGCCAGAACCCAGGCTCCCACATTGTTTTTTCCCCTGAACAAGTTTGTGTATCTGTGGATTTCTTTGGCAGTTCAATCAAAGGTATGGCTATTTACCCTAGGAGAAAAACACAGGATTTCAGTTTTACTATGGGAATTTCTTGAACTTCCACAAGTTCGTCCCAGGATAAATCCCCATCCGCATCCCTTCCTCCCACCATCTCACTTTCCTGCGATTGGTGGGAAAGTGGTTCTTGGGAGGCCTTCAAGAGCAGATGATGGAGTGCAATTCAGCGGGATCTTGGTTACAGCTGCGGGTCCCCAAGTGCACAGATGGCGGTACTGGGAGGAAAGAACCTGGTGGTGATAGTGGTGGTGGTGGTGGTGGTGGTGGTGGTGGTGGTGATGGTGAGGGACATGTGGAGAGAAGGGTGTCCACAGATAGCAGTGAGTGGTTGTTTTCTGTTGAGGGGTGCTGGAGAAGAAGCCACCTGTATCCTGGGTCCATCCACCTGTAACCTGAAGACCCAGCTCCTCCAGAAAGCTCTGCAGCATTGCCTACCTCCTGGTCCCACAGATGGGGAGGCTGGTCTCTTGGGAACCCAAGGGCCTGGTCCTCTGGGTTTGCTTCATAGCCTTAGTCTCCCCAGCCTCAGTCCCATTTGCGTCTGAGCCTCAGCTGGCTAATTTATTGCACACAAACACTATTTGTTTCCTCTCCCAGTGCTGTTGAAAGCTCTAACTAGTTCAAGGGCTGCAGGGCTCCGTAGTTTACTTTCAGTTTAGGAGATCGCAGCCTACACCCTTTCCCTGCTTCTTTTCAATCTAGTTACTCAAAAGTAGAAAACTTGTTTTTCTTGACTTTGTTAATATTTAAAATGACTTAGTGAAGGGCTAATAATTTCATCTTCTTACTCCAAGGGGGGGTGCACAGCAATAAATAAAAACTCAGCCAGTCAGCAGCACTATCTAGCCCCCCGCGGTGGAAGGGTTATAGTTAGCTTTCAGTGGCAGCACAGGAAACACCCATTTGTAAAGGTACAAATGTGGCTAATAAGGCTGAGATGTTGAAGAGAACACACCAGGATTTGAACAAAAAATCCCATGAAGAATCCTGTTAAAGGGATCTACTGTTAATTCCAGGTACAAAAATCAGAAGGGGGAGAGAGGAATTTAAACACACACACACACACACACACACACACACACACACACACACACTGCAAATGTTTCTAGTTGGGAGCTGGGGACTTGCTACTTTCCTGAGACTTCAGAGTAGAGGCCACCCATTCAGGACCAAGGTGCTTGCTACAGTCCCTGGCTTTCCAGGAGAGCAATGTGTCTCCTCTCTGAGCTTGGTTTGGTTATCGGAAAAAATGGAGACGAAAATATGTTTCTACTGAGGTCAATAACTCAAAAGCTTCGGAGGTGAAAAGATGCGCTTTGATTAGATAAGAAACTGCACAAAATGTAAAACTCACTGGACTTACTAGGTGGTACCAAAGAAGTGAAACTCGGGGATTGGTTTGTGTACCTGTGTCATTGTCCAAGAGGTGCTTGCCACTCTCCTCCAGAGAGCCCAAGATCAGCTGAAAAGTCTACAGGAAACTGCAGGAAGGTATCACCACTTCAGGGCTCTGGGCAGAAGCTATGCCACACCAATGGGCACCCAGTGCGGGGTCACCTAGGAAGAACTTTCTAGCCTCCCTAAGCACTTGACATACCCTGAGGCCAGTTGTCTTTGTTTCCATTGGGAGCATGGTTCACTTCTAAGTTTCTAACCAGCTCGCAGAAGAGGGAAGTTAGAATCAGCTCGGAAACTTCCTTCCTTCAACAAATATTTGTCTGCTATTCTGTGTGTCCAGGAGAACCATGTTCATTTTCCTAATGTGTTTCCTAAAGGAGTCCTCCTCCAGAGACTGGAGTGTCTGAAGGAGAGACCAGAAAAGCATCCATGGAACTTCAAGTTTAGATTAAGAATACAACCTTGACGAGTTCTTTTCGATTTGTGGGAAATTTAATTTTTGTGAAGGATATTTTGAGGGAGAGGGAAGAAATTCCATTTTCTTTATAAACACATCCATGCACGCTAAAAAGCAGTTATTTTCAAAAGCTTTGTAGAAATGCGTGATTAAAGCAAATATTTTTGTATCTAAATTGTAATGGTGTGCATTACTTCCATTTGCTCCAAAATGAACTGTGGTGGTACCTGCTGACAGCAGAAAACTGTCTAGGTGACTTGTAGTTGACTTGGCCACCTGCCTCACAAAGTAGGTGAAAGAACTGTTTTGCACTTCAAAGTTATCCACAAACACCTAAGATTGCTAGTTGTTCGAATTGCAAAATAAAGTTGAATTTACTGTCGCAGAGGAAGTAAAGTTACCCCTGAGCCCCAGCAGAGTGGCCTGGTCTCGCTGCCCAACTTTGGATCAATGATTAAGTTGCCAAAATATCAGAGATGCTGATAATGTAGAGATCAAACGCTAGTTTTTGTGAGCTGGGCCTGGTCGTTTACCTTTTCTTGAGAACAACGCGATTCCCAAGAGTGTCATCCAGCTTCTTTCCTAGTCCCGGCGAAAAATGGCGACCTCTCCCCAGCAGTCTCTGTCATTTTTTCAGGTTTAGCTTCGGGATCCGGAACCTCGCTGCACCGAAGGCCGGCGATGGACTCTGTAGGAGCTGGTCGGGGAGGGACTCATCTACTGCGCTGGGGGGAGGGCGCCCTACCCGGGCGCTTTGGCCAATCAGCGTGCACACCGCTTAACAACCGACCAATCAGAAGGCGCAGAGCTCGGGGCCGGGGTGAATAATACTAGGAAGGGGAGCCGCGACCCGGGATTGCTGCTAGCGAAGCTGCGCCCTAGGCTGCTGCGGGCGCGGGTGGCGAGAGTTCCCTGTCTCAGTCGGGCTGCCAGACCTTTCCTGCTCAGCTCGAACCAGAAGTGGAAAGCGGCTTCAGCGAAGTGAAGCACCCGGGCTGCAGAGTTCCGAGCAGAACTTTGCAGAGTTCGGGATGTGCGGGACTAGGTTGCTGAGGACCTGACTCGCCTCCTTCCTCTGTCCTCCCACCCCCACCATCCAGTGGGCTCCAGCTGCTGTCGGCCCTCGATTTCGAGGCAAGAGGTGGCGACCCGTTTTCGATTTAGCTTGCAGCTGGAAGGCCTGATCTGAAAGCTGGGTATCTTGATTGGGCTGCTAGCCTGGGCCTCAGAGTCTTGGTGAGTGCTGTGATGCGGGCGGTTCTGGAGTTAGGGAGGGCAAGGGGCGGTATCTCTTGTACTTGAACCTTTCTGCTTTACTTAATTGCCCTGCCTTAACCACCTGCGGTCGCCGAGGACTGCAGCTTTAGGACCAGTGTCGCCCACACGGGGGGTACATAGTTGGTTTAGGGGAAAGCCATAATAGCCATAGTTGGTTTAGTGGAAAGGGTAGTGATGCAAAGACCTCCACATAGGTCTGGTGACGGCGTAGGTGAATCAGGGGCATTTGGGAAATGTGGATTGAAAGGTCCCTTGTAACGAAAAGAAAACCAGTTCTTCCACCAATGTTTTTATATGCATTATGGCCATACTAGTTGAGTGTGCAAAAGTCTGACAAGCGGCCTAAGCCGGCGCGGGTGGACAATGTTTTTGTATGTGAGGTCATTAAGTTACATAGAGATTTGTCTGGAAAGGCCAGAGAGGGCTGAAATTAAAGGTCAGGTGCACAGAGCATTTGGAATCAATAAAATAAAACTTGTTGAGTTGTGCATCTCTGGGTCCCGTAGAGATAAAAGTAAGACCCATGTGGATGGATTGGAGAGACGGGTTGAAAACCGGGTAACTCCAGGGTGGAGGGTGAATTTCCAGAAGTTCTGGGCAGGAGGGTTCCTGACCGCCGCGGGCTGGTCTTCCGGCTTCTTTGTGTCTCCCCAGAGTGAGGGCGTCCGAACCTAGCAAGAGCGGAGCGCCATGGCGGATGGGCAGGCATGCTCAGGAGCTGGGGACTGGGAGATTGACGTGGAGAGTTTGGAGCTGGAGGAGGACAGCTGCGGGGTGCTGCCGCGGGCGATGCCGCCTGGACCCAGCCCGCTGCCGGCTGATGGCGACGCAGAGGACGACGAGGATGAGGACGAGGAGGACGAAGATGCGGAGGACGAGGGCGAAGGCGAGGAGGCGGGCGTGTCCCCAGGGGTATCCGGCCGGCTGGAGCAGCCCGCGGGATTGGCACCCAGGCCACCCCCGGCGCCCCAGACGCTACAGGCCGCTGCTGAAGTCCCTGAGCGTGGTGCCACCGCCGGCGGCCCCGAGCCTCGCAAGCTGAGCCGCACCCCCAAGTGCGCGCGCTGCCGCAACCACGGGGTGGTGTCCTGTCTCAAGGGCCACAAGCGATTCTGCCGCTGGCGGGACTGCCAGTGTGCCAACTGCCTGCTGGTGGTGGAGCGCCAGCGGGTCATGGCCGCCCAGGTGGCGCTCCGGAGGCAGCAGGCCACCGAGGTGCGTAAGGATGGGCTGGGGTGCCTCTTGTGGTCTGCGCACCGCATCCGGGCCGGGATAAGTCAGTCCCCATAGCAGCAGGGGGTCAGGCTGTCACCTGCATTGCTTCGTACCCGCGACCTCAGGTCGCCTGGCAGGAGGGATGTGGACATCTGCCCACGCTGGCCTGCGGGGTCCAGAGGGAGGGAAAGCCGCGGGCATCATTGGAGAACTTGCCATAAAAGTCTACTCTTAAAAAAGCAGAGAGCTTGCGACACTAAGGAAAATTTATTAAAAAATACTTCAGAGTTAATTTTGGTGGGGGTTGGGCAGGAGGAGAGTGTTTGCTGGTGTGGAGGGAGAGTCCAGTCACTGCCATTATAATGCTCACAGCGGATAAAGCAGTACACAGCACGCAGTGCTGTCTCTGCGCTACTGTCACCCGCGCTACTGTCGCCGGGCAGAACTTGCTGCCCATTCTACAGAGGAGACAAAAGTGTCAGCGGAGGTAGGAGCAGCCCAGCCTGGGACTACTGTCCTCGAGAGAAGCTCCGTTGCAGCTCTCTGTGGTGAGGAGAGTCAGGGTTTTCTCCTTGAGAGACTCCAGAACCCCGGAGTTTTTATTTCCCTTTGTTCCTGCTCTTGTGGCTCTAGAAAGTGTTCACAGAGCCTCCTCCCAGACCTGAGGCATGGCGGGATTTTGAATTCTTTATTGTTGTTTGTGATGCTGGGGATAGAACTTTTGGCAAGTGCTCTACCACCCTGCTTCCTCCCCAGCTCTAGGGAGAGTTTGATTTGACTTGCTTGGTAGACTGGTGCTGGGAGGTTGGTCACCAAACACACTTAAGTCAGTGACTCCAAAGGAAAACTAGAGAGCCCTGGAGAGCTCGCAGGACCCGGGGAGGTCTTGGTTCTGGGTTCAGTCTTCTCCCTCATGGGGTATGGATTATCCCAGGCCTTGAGCACCGAGGCTTCTCTGCAGGGCACTGGGTTGTATTTGGGGGCGGGCTGGGGGCACGGGTGTGTGTGTGTGCTTATCCTGCTTTGTTGGCCGCCCCTTAGAGTTTTTTTTTGCCTTCATATGAGGCATGTCCTCCAGAAAACAAGCCAGACTCTTTTAAGCTTAAACCAGTACCCCATCCTGTTCACCTCACCTTGGGAAGAAACGGGCCAGTCTTAGTGCCCTCATCACCTACAAGCCCCGGGCACGTTCAGCTCAGTGAGTGGGCCGGGGGAAGCAGCCTTCCCAGTTCTCCTAGGCAGAATTGCTGCTGTCTCCTTGGTTGTGGATCTCATTCACCTCTGGATATCCCCTCACAGGTCTGGAGTGACCACCAAAGAAAGCGGAAGGGGACCTCTGGTTGGTTGCTCTGAGATTAAGGGGCACTCCCATTAATTTGTTTGGAATCATTTTTCATAGGCAGCCGCAAAACAAATATGTTAAGGCTGGAGAGAATTCTGGAGGCTTTGTGGATGCCCCCCCCCCTCTGCTTTCACTGATTGTTTTCTTGTGTTTACAGGACAAGAAGGGGCTTTCCGCAAAACAGAATAATTTCGAGAGGAAAGCAGTGTACCATAGGCAAGTCAGGGCACCGAGTTTGCTGGCTAAAAGCATTTTAGAAGGTAAAATAAAGCCAAATCGTCCTTTAGCTTTTAAAACCCAGCTGAGGGAGTCTCTTTCAGATGCATGGCCTATGTACAACTTAGGAAGAGATAACTTTCATTAGAAAGTCTTCCTCTGGAAAGAGAATTGAGATGTGGAAAATGCATGTCATATACTTGCAGAGGACTCTGCCAACAGTGGTAATTTTATTCTGTTACTAGTTATTTGGGAAGAAAAGTAGCTATGAATTACTCTCACCCCACTTTCTCACAAGGGCTTAATGGGCAGAGTAATCAAGAATCAAGCTAGCCCGAGGGTTCAACCTCAGGTTTCAGTCCTTATCATCTGTTTTCCTTGGTGGATAGCTAGATAATCTTTTTTTCCACACTCCCTTTAACCACTTTTGACAGTTAAGGTTGTAAAGTGTGGGAAGGCTTTAACCTGAAGTTGAATTCTCTCGCTGTTTCCAATTTCTGTAAATCCTAGAAATAGGTTAATTTTTCTTAAAATATTGCTAACTTTATAAAGCATTTGTATTTAGGTATGTGGTTTATTTATTGACCTGCTAAGCTATGTATTAATTATGACTCCTTCTTTACATTTATCTAAACCAAAGTTACGTTTGCTTTAACCACTGCCACTTCATATGGAAAAGAAGGACTTTTCCTTTCCTTAAAATGGACATTTTAGTTCTGCTTTTTTCCTTATATAGCTTCTGAATGTTGCTGGTTTGGGTATTCTTTAATTGTTGTTCCTGTCTGTGCCTTGTACTTCTGACCCGGTTCTCAAGAATTAAAAAACGAATTTGGTTGCGGACTGGGTAAACATTTATAAATTTATAAATTGAAATTTTGCCAAAGCAAGTTGAGATGTTTGAAGGCTCAGTGGAAAAGTAAATTCAAGTAAATACGTTTCTGGCCCACAGCATAGAAATGGAAACATTAATTTTCAAATTTTATTTTATTTGCAAATGAGTATAATGGGTTTGCCACCGTGTAAACAAAAATATCACCAGGAATCCTTCAGATGAATTTGCTAGTGGTGAGTGCTAGGGAGTGATGAAATACTCAAAATATTTTATATAGCCAGGAATTCTATTTATGTTATACTAGTCTTTGTTTTGGATTTTCTCTTTATTCATGAAATGTGCATGACTTAATCTTCTTTCTAATGATCGCTTGTTGGGTTAACCATTTTGGTATTTGGCCAACATGATTGAGCTTGGGAAAGAATGCTTTAAACATGCTATTTTCAGTGCAGCTGGGAATACCTTCCCCCTTCCCCCGCTGTTATTTCTCTTAGCTTTATTGTATTAGTAGTTGAAGGGAGGTCCTGCCTTGATTGTTCCTTGCACTGTATGTTTGACTAGTTAACAGCTCTTTTCAGTTTTCTATGTTTCTCTGTGTCCTCAAGTCTTTTCTTCTTTTTCTCTTAACTAGTCTTCTTTAACTTTCTTTTTCTTTTTTTCCTAGTTCTCCTTGGATTATTCTACAACTGTAACAATGTGTACATAATGAGACATCTTTAGAAAATAAAAGTGACATCAGCTGTAGGTATAGATATCTTTTTTAATAATGAAAAAGATGACATGGGTAATAAAACATTGATTGAAGCAAGGTGGACAGCTTTGTCTCTTAACATCTAGGGATCTGGGGAGAATATTAAAATCTCAGTCAATAAAATACACTTGCTGAAGCAGCAAGCAGACATACCTGTACCAACAAAAACATCAGCAGCAGAAAGCAACAATATGGATATCTTTCCCCCAAAGGAAACTATATTAAATTGAACCTATCTAGACCAATGCTTTCTATATTAAAATATTAGTGACATGGAATTATAACTGGTTATCCTTCTGGTTTGTGATGCTTCTTCTAGATTTCCAGATTTTTCTTGCCAGGATGTTAATCTTTTTCTTTTGTAATATTTGCTTATTTTAGGCTATCGCCCAGTAACAGCGGAAACGTACCTAGGAGGGACCCTTCCTCTACCTCCACCTGTTAGTGACAGGATGAGGAAAAGAAGAGCCTTTGCTGACAAAGAGTTGGAGAATATTATGCTGGAAAGAGAATACAAAGAGAGGGAGCTTCTGGAAACGTCCCAAGCTGCTGCTTTGTTTCTGCCCAACCGCATGGTGCCAGGACCTGAATACAGCCCCTACAAAAGTGCTTACAGCCCCACCCCCGGGGAGCTGCCAAGTAAGGACTTCTGTAATTTTTTACCAGCCTGCCTTGATCTCACTATGCAGTATTCAGGAACTGGGAATATGGAACTGATTTCCTCTAATGTCAGTGTGGCTACAACTTACAGACAATACCCCTTGTCCTCAAGATTTTTAGTTTGGCCCAAGTGCGGGCCCATTAGTGACACCCTCCTCTATCAACAGTGCCTGCTAAATGCCACCACTTCTATTCAAGCCCTGAAGCCTGGAGCCAGCTGGGACTTGAAAGGAACCCGGGTCCAAGATGGGCTTGGTGCAGAACATGACATGATGCCATCCAAATTGGAAGGTTCCCTGGTTTTGCCTCATCTACCTGAGGTCCCAACATCAAGAACTGACCTTCAGGGTCACCAGGTTGTCCCTGAGAGGTCAGCCTTCTCCCCACCCCGACGGAATTTCTCTCCCATTGTTGATATGGACTGCCTGGCAGCTCAAGGGCACGTTTTAACCAAGATCAGCAAAGAAAACACTAGGCACCCTCCACCACTTAAACATAATCCATTCCACTCAGTATTCCATCAAACACTCAGGGACAAATCAGGTCCTGAGTTGAAAACACCATTCGTCAAAGACGCCTTTGAAGAGATCCCAAAGAAACACAGGGAGTATTTGGTCAAAGAGAACCAGAAGTACACATTTACAATAGACAGATGTGCAAAAGACCTTTTCGTAGCTAAACAAGTTGGAACAAAACTCTCGGTGAATGAGCCGCTGTCATTTTCTGTTGAATCTATTCTGAAGAGACCTTCATCTGCCATCACTCATGTCTCTCAGTGAAAGGCTGCTTAAATGGAAAGCTGGATTTTATGCATCTCAGAGAGTTCTTGCTTTTTTATTTGGAAGATGTTTGTGTAAAGAAATTTCTAATGTAAATGACAGTGATTCCTAAAAATTCTATTTCATCTGCATGTATCTTTTCTTACCACATAAGTATATTTAAAGATGAAGCCTGCTTAATATTCAAATTGTAAAGTTCTATGCTTTATATAGCATTTCAAAAAGCAATAAAAATGACAGTCTTCTAAAGACCCAGTGTTTGCTGAAGCAAATAGCCATCTGTCTAAATGAAAATGCTTGTGTCTTTGAAATGTGTTCTTAATTTTTTTATGAGTGTATGTATTTTCAAGACCTCTTAATGGTTCTTGTGAGTCACAGGAGAATGATTATAATGCTTTTGAAAAAATTATAAGTGGTATAGGTCAAATCTAGGGCCTCACACATGCTAGGCAGGTGTGTGTGTGTGTGTGTGTGTGTGTGTGTGTGTGTGTGTGTGTGTGTATACTCTCTCTCTCTCTCACACACACAAATTTAACTTTTCAAGACTGGGGCAAAATAGCTTGAGGATAAAGTTAGGGCTGTTGGCATATTGATGGAACTGTAATTTCATGTGATTTAACCAAGTTTAATTAATTTGAAGGGAAATCAAGTGCAACAATCTCATTTATTTGATGATGCATTTGGTAATGGATTACTTTGAACTCTGTGTGCCAGGCCCTAAGTCTCCTTTCTAGGAAAGGGACATCTCTTTGAACATTTCAGTTGTTCTCAGCATACAATGTTTTAGCTTGCTGGAGACCACAAAGCAGTTCCCCCTGTTAGGTGCAGTGGGTTCAGCCCATGGTGGTGTCAAATCCCCCATGACTCTTGTGTTAGTTCACTGTTCCCAAAGGACTGGTGACAACAGGCGTTTAGATGTAGGCCTGGTCAACTCTTAGCTGGTCCCTGACTACCAGTTTATGCCCATGTGTCCACCATGTGTCCACCAGTCAAAGGCTGTCAGCATAGTTTTCTTCTAAGATAAGAACGTTTACTATTCAAATGATGTCAACTGACACTTGCTGAACCCTGCAGATATTTATCATAGCATGAGGGTAGCTTCCACTCCATTTGTGAATTCATTGTTACCTTCTTGTTTTACTTGATAAAATATTAAGTGTGGCTTCAAAAGCTTGATAAAATGAGTGTGAGACAATTTATAACAGTATTATCTCTTGAATTCATCTCTTAAAATCTCATCTTTGGGCTGGGGATGTAGCTTAGTTGGTAGAGTGCTTGTCTAGCATAAACCCTGGGTCTGATCCCCAGCACCACATAAACCAGGCTTGTGTATGTCTGTAATCCCAGCAGTGGGGAGGTGGAGGCAGGAAGACTAGAAGTTTAATGTCATCTTTGCCTACATATCTAGTTTGAGCCCAGCCTGGAAAACATGAGACCCTGTGTTATGCACCTGTAATCCCAGCACTTGGGGATTGGAGGGGTATTGGCAGAGGCAGGAAGATGGTGAGTTCAAAGCCAGCCTGTGATACATGACAAGACCCTGTCTCAAAAACCCCAGACCAGCTGGGCATGGTGGTACATGGCTTGAATTTCAGTACTCAGAAGGTAGAGGCTGGAGGATTTCTGTGAGTTCAAAGACAACCTGGTCTACACAATGAGTTCCAGGCCAGCTGGAGCTATAGGGAGGCTCTGTCTCAAAAACCAAAACCAAAACTAAAACCAAAACCCAAACTGAAAACAGAATTGTGGACCCCAAATTAAGTTCGAATTCTAGGGCTGGTGAGATGGCTCAGTGTATAAAGGCACTTGCCACCAAGCCCAAAGACCTGGGTTTGATTCTTTAAGACCCATATGATGGAAGGAGAGAACCAACTCCTGAAATCTGTCCTCTGACCACTATGTGTATACAGTGGTGCTTGAGCATGAACACATACTCATACCAACACCCACACATATACACACTTGCACTAAATAAATATGATAAAAATTTAAAGTTCAAGTTCTAAGCTATGCAAGTCATTTCAACTCAGAAGACAAAGCCTCCAAAATTTCACCTAGAGGGCTTCCATGAGTTGAGTCTGGGTAACAAGAACACTCTGGTCATGTGGAATGTGACCAGGGTTTCAACAGCATGAAAGGTTTCTTGCTTGCTCTAAAAAAACACTTAAAATGCTTGTGCTACTGATGAGCTCATACAAGCCTCCAGGGATTCTCAGAGTTGTTCCTTAGAATTAGCATCAATTTCAAAAACCCAAGCCAAAACTTAGGTTGATTTTCAGTTTGTACTTGTAAAATAATACTTGGTATTGTTGAGTCAAATTTACTTACTGTTACTCTTGCAAAAGCCAGAGCGAATGGAAGCTTGCCGGAAAAACAAAACTGAGAGCAGGCAGAAATTTCAATAGCTGTTGAAGATTATCATTAAGTGGAAAAGGTGTTTTCCAGCCAAGTCTGCCCTAGTGTTAGATGTCTACCCCACGTTCCCTCCTAGTCACCTGGGCTTTTTCTACCCAGTTACTCATTTTTGTCTCCCTATAAGCAATTTGTCTTTTATGTAAAGTATTAAATGTAAACTGAGCTCTGAATCATACTTCAGAAGCAATCAGGGGAAACTCATTAGAACAAAACCACATTCAAATGTCTAGTGAGAAGGGCTTCTTAATCCAAAGATGGATCTTCTTTCTTACTTCATTTCTCTCTACTTTCCAGGGTCTCATGTAGCTCAGACTACCTGCGGATGACCTTGAACTTCTGATCCTCCTGCTTCTACCTTCTGAATGCTGGGATTAGAGACATACGTTATCATGCCTGCTTTTATGCATACTGGGGATGGAATACAGGGACTCTCACGGGTCAGGCAAGCACGCTACCAAGTGAACGCATCCCCAGACTCTTATATTTTTCAATACTTCTATTTCTCAGCATTTTCCTTTTCGTATTTAGATGAGAGCAGCCATGTTCAGGGTGGGATGGCTATAGATGCTTTTTGTAGTCAATGACCATATTGGGACATCTCTGTTCTGCTTAATCCCATTAAGTGAATCCCATTGGCTGTGGTTATTAGTGGTTTTTCTCACATTATGATTGACTGGAATTTTATTGTTCTTAAACTTTTATGAGGGTTAGTGCTTTTCCCTGGCAAATTTATTAGTTCTGCTGTAATGATGAATTCTTAGAATTTTGAACCTACCAAATCTACCACCAGCCATCTAACCAGAGCTTTTTACTTGGTGGGCTATTTGCTTTTTAAGATCATTGTACTTCCCTAAAGGTTTCTACTCTCCAAAGAACACTGCTTTTGACATATGAAACCAAACTCTTGATTGACTTTGATCATTTTCTATGGTAAAGGTAATAAATGGATTTGTTATTAGCCATGTTTTGATAACATAAGGGCTTAATAAAGCATGAATTATTTTTTCTCAGTTTTACTCACAATAATGTAGTTTAAATGGCTTGTTTTCCTTCCATGTCAACTGATCAAGTATTTCTTTGCTCTGTTTGCAATTCTCAAAATGAAATTCCTTAGACTCTTTTTTTTTGGTCTTTTTGAGACAGGGTCTCCCTGTAGCCCCAGCTGTCCTGGATTCACTATGGAGACCAGGCTGGCCTTGAACTCACAGAGATCCGCCTGCCTCTGCCTCCCGAGTGCTGGGATTAAAAGCATGTGCCACCACACCCAGTCCCTAGACTCTTTTTAAAAAATATTTTATTAATTATTTTTATTTTATGTGTATTTGTGTATTGCCTGCATGTAGGTAAGTGCACCTGTGTTGTGCAATGCCCGTGGAGGTTAGAAGAGGCTGTTGGATCCCCTGGGACTGGAGTTACGGATAGTTGTTAGCTACCATATGGGTGCTGGGATTCGAACCTGGGTCTTCTGCAAGAACATCCAGTGTTCTTAACTGCTGAGCCAGCTCTCCAGCCCCAAAATTCCCTATGCTCTTAATGAAGTGCAGATTCTGATTCCACTGATCTGGGTGTACCCAAGGTTCTGTGTTTAAAAAAAAAGTCATTTATTTTTATTATTATATGTGTATGAGTGTATTGCCTGAATGCAGCATGTCAGAGCACCCATATTGTGCAATGCCTGTGGAGGCCAGAAGACTTTGGTCCCTTGGAACTGGAATTATAGGCATTGGCTGCCATGTGGGTGCTGGGAACTGAACCCAGATCCTCTGCAAGAGTAGCCAGT